GAGCCGCCCCGGCTGGGCCCCTGCACGCGGCCGAGATGACTTCCAAGGAGGACAGCAAGGTGGCGCCCGGGGAGGAGCGGCGGCGCAGCCCCCTGGATCACCTGCCGCCGCCCGCCAACTCCAACAAGCCGCTGACGCCGTTCAGCATCGAGGACATCCTCAACAAGCCGTCTGTGCGCCGAAGTTACTCGCTGTGCGGGGCGGCGCACCTGCTGGCCGCCGCGGACAAGCACGCGCCGGGCGCCTTGCCCCTGGCGGGCCGCGCGCTGCTCTCGCAGACCTCGCCGCTGTGCGCGCTGGAAGAGCTCGCCAGCAAGACCTTTAAGGGGCTGGAGGTCAGCGTCCTGCAGGCAGCCGAAGGTAGGCGCCGTCACCGGGTTCCCCTGCGCCGGCGCCCTGACTGCCTCCTCCAGCGCCCGCCGCCAGGGCCCACCAGCCCGAGCCTCTGCCTCTGGGAGTGGGGATGGACCCAAAGCGTATATCCTAGGGACCTCTGGGTAGGCCAGAGTCGGGGTGACCCGGGGAGGGGTGGCGGGAACCCAAGCTCTCTCGCAGTCCAAGTACTCTGCCCAGCGCCCTCCGGTTCCCAGTGGCCTGGGTGCTTCCAGCCCGGCTCACGGGGTGGGGAATCGAGAGCGTTTTGCTGGGACCTTCTGGGTAAGGTAGAGTCGGGTGATTGGGAAGTGGTAGAGAACCAGCGTTCACACCACAGTCGGGCATTCCTGTCCGGCTGTCTCCCGGTCTCAGCTACCTCGGGTCTTTCTAAGGAACTCGTAGGTAGGGGCCAGAGACCAAACTAATTTTTCATGGGGATGTCTGGTAAACTAGAGACGGAGAAGCGGGGTTTGCCGTGGTGAGCCTTGCCCTAGCCCAGGAGGCTGATCAGAGCGGTCTAGGGGACAGCGGCAGACCACAGGCCGGCTGGGCCTGGGTGGGGTAAGGTGGGAAGGGGTGCTATGCAACGAGAACCAGGTGGGGGGGGGGTCTCCTCTTTCCTGTCGAAAGTCTATACTATAGTTTCCTCGCAGGCCGCGACGGGATGACCATCTTTGGGCAGCGACAGACCCCCAAAAAGCGACGGAAGTCGCGCACAGCCTTCACCAACCACCAGATCTACGAGTTGGAGAAGCGCTTCCTGTACCAGAAGTACCTGTCCCCAGCCGACCGCGACCAAATCGCGCAGCAGCTGGGCCTCACCAATGCGCAGGTCATCACCTGGTTCCAGAATCGGCGCGCCAAGCTCAAGCGGGACCTGGAAGAGATGAAGGCTGACGTGGAGTCCGCCAAGAAACTAGGCCCTAGCGGGCAGATGGACATCGTGGCGCTGGCCGAACTCGAGCAGAACTCGGAGGCCGCGGGCGGCGGCGGCGGGGGCGGCGGCGGCTGTGGCAGGGCCAAGTCGAGGCCCGGCTCTCCGGCGCTCCCCCCAGGTGTCCCGCAGGCCCCGGGCGCCGGGCCCCTGCAGCTCTCGCCCGCCTCCCCGCTCACGGACCAGCCTGCCAGCAGCCAGGACTGCTCAGAGGACGAGGAAGACGAAGAGATCGACGTGGACGACTGAGCCGCGTCTAGGATCTTCCGCCGCCCCGGGCCCCTAGCGCCCGCAAGCCCGCCGCCTCCCGGACCGGACCGCCGAGGGGAGCTGGAACCCCCTCTGCAACTCCCGCCTCCTCCCCCTTTCCGGGCCGCGACTTGGCTCCCGGCAGCCGCCTCTTCCCTCTCGAAGCAATAAACCCGGGCTGGCCAGCCGGACCGGACGTCGCGCGCGGCCTCCGCCGCCCCGGCAGCCCTCGCCGTGCAATTCTGTATGGCTTCTGTAAAAATATTTAAACCCAGAAAGCGGGTTGCTCCTACCGCAGCCTGATTTCTTTCATTTTTTAAAGTCTCGGAGATTTCGATGTTTTCAAAGCTCTCGGGCTGTCCGGTTTGCTGAGAGCGAGGCAGAAGTGAGGGCGCGGAACACTAACACCGCGGTCTGGAGGAGGGGGCGGCCTGGCTGTTTTGATTTTTGTCTGCATGTGGCGAATGCACCCGCCGGCTCCCTCCTCGCCTCCCTGGGCCTTTTGCAGTTGACTTCATTTCTTTCCTTTTGCCTTTTTTCCTCCGCGTGGCAAAGGGATGAGAGGGGCAGCCGGGTCCTGAATTGCAAGTTTCTAGTCGATCTTTTCTTCTCCTCCCGCCCCCAACCCCCCAGCGAGAGAAGTCTGTTTTCGATGCCATTTCTGCCTCCCATGCCCACTAACGCTATTTTAAAGCTCCCTCTCCCTCTTGCGGTTTCCTTGGACTGACTACTGGGGTCCGGCTCTTGGGGACAAAGCAGGGGGGAAATCCAACCAATCAACCAACGAAAACAGAACCCAAAGCCCTAGAATTATTTTTTACTCTTTTTAGAATTTTTTTGCATGTGACAGAGACAGAGAGAAGGCCATCCAAGCTCCCACCCCACCTCCTCCTTAGCTCTCGGTCTGTCTTGCCGTTTCCAACACCCCGCTCCTAGCTTGACTTGGCCAGAGGAGGGTGGCCTGATGAGGTTGGGTCCCGCGTGCCCCTTGCCTGCTCCCGTCCTGCCTTCTCCTTCCCGGACTGTAACCAAGGCCTCTTTCTCCGATAAATAAAGTCTTTGCCATTTTATTAGAACCGGCAGTGACCGTGTCTGAGTGCTGGGCCCGATTCTGGGAAGCCGCGGCAGGCTCCGCTTCTCGCAGCTACTTGTCGTCAGACGTCTCGATTCCGGAGATTTGGGGGAGTCTTAGGGCAGGCATGAGAGTGAGAGGGGCGAGGGAGAAGCAGCGGGAAGAGGCTCTTCTTGCCCACAAACGCGCGGCAGTTACTAAATCAGGGCAGAAGCGGGCTTCGCCTGGTCCGGGTAAAAAACGAGGCAGGCTGCCCCAGGAGAAAATGTTTGTGTACGCTGGGGGCACCACCGGTGCAAAATAAATTTGTGTGGGACAAGGGGTGGGGAAGGACTTGCCCTACAGCTCATACGTCCCACCCTGGGCACAGCAGCCTTCTTCCCGCGCTCCCCAGATCCCTGGAACGTGGGGTGAGCCTCCCATGCGCGGCAGGCCGTCGCTCAGTCGGATAGCAGGGAATAGCCTGGGGAATCCCAAGTTTCGGTTCCCGCTCGAGGGTCTCACCCTGGAGAGGGGTAAAGCCGAAGGCACGAGGGACAGGCCGAATTATTTCGCTCGCAGGCACGAAGGGATGTGAGCCGGGGCGCCTGAGAGTTGGGGTGAAATTCTGGTAACATTCACCAATTCTGGGCCCCGCGCTGGGCTGGGGGGCAGAGACATCGATCTGGAAGGGACTCTGTGGGGTCCGCGGCTCCCCAGGGGTGTCTAGGGTAGAGTCGTCGGCCGCTTGCACTTTCCCGGACAGAGCGGGTTTCTCTCTGGGCTTTTGTTGTCTCTGGGCTGGCAAGTAGCCGCTGTCACCAGAGTGGGGTTCCGCCTCCAGGCCGCTCGGCTCTCTTTCTCCGCAAAATTGATGTGAGAAATGCGCATCTGGTCTCGGGCAGGCGATGGGGGCCCCTGGGCCTGAATCAGGAACTGCGTGTCCAGGAGGAAACGGAAAGACAGACAGAGACAGGGAGAAACAAAATGAGGGAGCATCGAAAGACAGGCGGAAAGCAGAGAGAGAAAACTAAGACACACAGAGAGGCTGAGGAGGGAGAGAGGAAGAGAAAAAGCCATACAGAGAGACAGAGGGGGAGAAAGAGAATGAGACTGGGAAGAGGGGAGCGAAGAGAGAGGAGAGAGAACGAAAGAGGCGGCCGGGCAGCCGAGCGGGCGTGCGGCCGGTTCCTCCCAGGCGACATAAATCGCCCTGTCTCAGGATGGATGGGTCTGTAATTCGGAGCGCGGACCATGAAGGCCGGGACGAATGGGCCCGGGCGGCCGCTGACAGGCGACAATAGCCGGGCCCAGCCTCCCGCGGCTCCCGGTGCGGGCGCGGCCGAGGCCCTCCGCAGCCCAGAGCGCGCCGGCGCTGGCGACCATATGGTTTTTGAATTTTCTTCACAATTTGTAGACAATTTGATGGATTAGGTCCCCGCGCGCGCCTCCCCGGCACAAAGGCGGCGCAGGGACCGCGGCGCGGCGGTCACCCGGGCATCTGCGCCCGCCGTGCGCATCCCCCCCATTCCCCGCGGGCCCCCGCCCCGCGTCCCGCGCCCAGGGCCGCCCGCCCAACAAGCCCATGAATCCCAATGAAGCGGCCCTGGCACCTACGGCCGCTCCCTGCTCCCCGGCCCGGGGCCGGGCCCTGCCGGGTCCCTGCGGGCGGGGGGCGGCTGCCCCGGGGCTGAGCCCACCCGAGCTGCTGCGCCCGCGGGGCGCGCAGCTAAGCAGGCGCATCCGGGCTGAGGAGAAACTGGGCCATTTATCCGCCCGTCTAGTTAAAGCGGGTTATTTGTTTGCTTCTCTGGCCTCCCCCTCCCCTCCCCCTCCCCGCTTCCCCTCCCTTCCGCTTCTGCCTTTTATTCTTTTGTCTCTAAATGGATTTAATGAGCCTGCAAAACATGACAATTGAATATAACCAAGAAATAAAAAATAACGAGGGAGGAAGGAGGAAAAGAAAGAAGGAAAGAAGGGAAAGGATTAATAAAAGAAAAGAAAAAATTTATTCAAATCTGCAAATGTTTGTTGTGCGTCTTTTCCACACCAGGTCGCGCTGGGGGCTGGGGAAATGGAAACGAATCTGACACGGTTCCTGCCCTCTAGGAGCTACAAGTCTAGTGCACGAGACCCGCCGCACCCGCGACGCCAACAGGAGGCCCGGGCCGAGGGGCAGAGAAGCGCCGTGTGCACTATGCGGAGGGTGGTTGGGGCTTCGCGGAGGAGGTGGCATTGGATCCAGGCCTTGAAAGACGAGAGGGAACTCTTTGTTTCGATAGGCCGGAGAGAAGGGCGGCCAGAAAGAAGTACTGAGCAGTCGTCGGAAGGAAGACAGAGCGAGGCGTTCGCCCGAGCCCTGGGCTGGCCTGAGCCGGGGAGACCCGGAGACGGCGCTGCACGCTGGGTCGCATACAGTTTGGCTAGCGGAGTCGAGCCGGCCTGCAGTTTCCTCTGCTCCGCTGGACTCCAAGCCTCCGCCAGGCTGTCGATGGGCTTGAGGAGCCCCGCCGACAGCGCGTGTGGCCGGCGGAACACCGCGGCTGGGGGCTGGACTCTCGGCCCCACCACGAAGGCAGGCGGTGGGAAGTCGGCGGCCCGGCAAGGGCCGAGGGGCTGGGATCTAGGGGGCCTGGGCTCTAGTCCACCCCCATCTCAGTTCTCCCAGCTGAGGTGAGGGCCGCTACCCGCATGCAGGCTGGGACGCTCGAATGGACTTGGCCGCGCCTCAGAGCTGTGACTCCGCCTTAGGCGCTGCCGCCGGGACCTGTGGTCAGAGAGGACCTCGAACCCCGAGCGCCGGCCCTGGGTGCCTAGCGGGCGCCTGCCGGCTTGACTCAGGGTGCAGCGTTGTGCGCGCCGCACGTGTTCGCTCGGCGGGAGCGGGGCGTGTGCATCGCGTGTCCCTTTCCTCCCTGCGTCTGAATGTGCTTGTGGGGGATGCGCGGTCGTATGAAGCCCTGTGGGCCCTGCGCGCATTCTCAGGACAAGGTTCGTTAAGGCTGGCGAAACCCCTGGATTACCCTCCCTTCGGCCGGAGTGCCATCGCCGACTGGGGTCATGGCGGTCCCGGGCCTTCAGGACTCCGGCCTCTCTGCGGACCCACTTTCGGTTCCCGGCTGCCCCGCGGAGGCGGCCCGGCTTTGTCCCTTCCTTCCCTCTGGGTCTGGGCCTCCGACCAGGTAGCCAAGCTCCAAGACGCGAGAGGCTTCTGCTCTCGGGCCGGAGGCCCTGCGGCGCGCGAACAGGCCAGTGCCCACCGCGCCACCGGTCTTGGCTTTCTGGGCTCCGCCTTTCCCAGCCCGGCGGCCCTGCGGGCGGCGCGGGGTGAAGCCGGGAGGCGCAGTTCCTTACTTTACGAGGTGTCGGGCCGGTGTCAGACCCGGCTCCGATAAGTAATACTCCAGTCTGAGGGACCAGAACGTGGTAATTAATCCCAAAGACTTAAGTGTATTTTAGTTCAGGAGAAAAAAAATCACTAATTCAATCGTCCGGAAAATTGAAGTTTGATGCATGAGTCCCCCCTGAAAGGGACGGGCTGGGGCCTCGCGCCTCCCCTCCGCCCCTGCCCGTCGCCACGGGTACCCCCTCCTCCCCACCCTTCTGAGTCGCCCAGTCCAGGGAAGTCTGCCCGCCTGGTCCTGCGCAGCCCTGCCACCGAACCCAGGGGCACCTGGGCTTTGCTCCTCCACCCCAACAACCAGCCCCTCTTCTTTGGGGCCCAGGAAGTGTTTTGTGCTGGGAATACTGATGCCCCCAAACACACATACCTAGGAAGGTGTATGAAGGTGCTCCGGAGGTGTAGGGCGGGGCGCTAGATAAGGGGACCCGGTGGGCAGTGTCAGGGGCTGCAAGTCCTGTGGGGAGGGGACCGAAACCTGAGTGGCCTGGGGTCCTGAGGGGCAGGGCAGGAAGTGGAGGAGTCTGTGTGGCCGTCAGGTGGGTGAGGCTGGCACTATGGGTGTGCTGAGTGGTGGTGGTTGGACTGTAGGTGTGAGGGGCTGTGTGAGAATGGGTGCATACCTAGACTGTGCCTGTGCATGAAGGGAGCTCTCAGCAGAAGCTGGCAGGCCTGGGCGAGCCTGGAGCCAGACCCCTGAGTGTGTCTACAGGTCATGCCTCCAAAGGAGGTTTCCCAACTGTTTGGTAAGGTTCTGGGGACTGGAGTGAAGGAGGTGGGGGTTCCTGGGCCTGAGGTGTGTGTGGGGTGGCAATACCCTGGAGGGAGAATTCCCACCT